GAACTGGGGGAGTCTTTGTGTGACACATGCCTATAGACACGGAGTGCCACCATCCTCAGACGGAAGGGCCGGGCCGATCTCCTCCAGGAAGGCTGACAGTCTAGCCAGCTTCCTCGACCTCAAAGGCCCACCGTGATGGAGTGGAGCGAATGTGGCAGGCACAGCAAACACAGAGAAGAGACGTCTGGAGAAAATCTTTCCGGAAACAGAGCATAAAGACAGGGAAAAGCCCTGAACCCGGGAGAGATCATCAATGACTACCACAGAGCGGGGCAGACACAAACATGCCCAGATGGCGCCTCCACTAGCATTTCCGGTGTGTGGCTGTTGCCCACAAAGAACAGGAGCTTGTTTAGCGACCTTCTACTCAGGGCCTCTGGTCATCAGGAACTGCTAACGGGAGCTCCCAGAAAAAAGCAGTCACCCCCAGCTGGATGGTTTTCCGTCAGTTCCCTGCCATCTCACACTGGAGGGCTCATTGAGCAGGTGGAGAACTGTTTTTTTGTTTTGTTTCATTTTGTTTTTTAATGGCTACAATTTCCTTCCAAATCAAATGTAGCAGATTGGCATTGCGTTATGACACTTTAAGCTGCCTCTCGCAGCACCAGCATGCCATCTGGACGACAGATCAAGGTGTGGCCACTCCGCTTCCAGAAGATGGCCCAAGGGCTCGGGCCCCTGCACACCTTCACACACAGGACAAAGTTCTAGGCCCCAACCCAGGCTGCTCTGGCCATTTTGGAAGATACTCATTATTCATTCTCTCTCTCTCTCTCTCTCTTTTTTTCTGATTTTGCCTTTCAAGCAAATAAATAAGTCTATTTGAAAAGATGGACTCAAGCAAGTCACATCAATTTGGAGACAAAACTAACTTTGTATATCCAGGTGGTGCAACCAGTAATCAGAGATGCACACAGCATCGGGATGCGGTCAATGGACAGAGATGGTCAGCCGGGGCTGCTGCCATGTCTACCAAAGAAAGACAGAAGGCGATGGGCGCCGAGAGGCGTCTGCAGCAGGGTCACCTACTCCTTGATTATGGTCAAGGTCACGTCTCGCCTGTGTTCCATTTCACGGAGCGAGAACTTCCTGGAATGGAGTGACTCGTGTCGCTGTCACCCTAGGCAGAAGAGGACCGTCTTCCAGAAGGCACGGGTCTTCCCCCTGTCGCCCTCGTGCTCCATTCTGCTAGAAAACATTTGAATTTGTATGGCTTTCCTGCAGGAGCCATCTTTCCTCCCGCTGTCAGGATTTGCTCCGTGCAGTGGAAGGCTAGTGCTCTCATTTTCCTCCTTCGGAAACCACCGTCTCTGCCTAGCAGCCAGCTGAACCTGACCTCACGCTCTTCATTCAGAGGGAAATGCTGGATGCGACGAGAGGAGGCTTCGTGGAGGCAAAGCAGGCCTCTCTGCTGATGAACGCCGTTATACCAATACCCAGGCTAACAAAGGGCGGAAGACGGGGGCATTCAGGAGGAGGGCCAACAGAAAAGACAACAGGCAGAATCCAGCATTAGGACAAAGCGGGCTCTGCGGCACCGGGGGAAAAATAGGGGAAAAGCCTTTAAGAGAAAATTGCATGCAATTTTTTTGGCCTCAATTAGCCTTCTCCACAAAGAGCACTTTGCCACAAAGAGCCCATTAAATAGCAAATGAAATTACGGCAGTTTTCAGTTGCCATGGCGTTGGCTCTTCCTCTAATGGACTTCTCCGGTCTCGAGTTTAACGGGAGCGTCACTTACTTTCGTCATCTATGCGCACTGCCACCATCCCCTCTGTCCTCCCCACCCCCCCCATGGCCACGCGTGCGACTTCGCCCACACAGCGCCACCCGGGATGCCCTCGGCCCTGGTCCTACAGACCGAGAGGGCGGAACTGACCAGAACAGCATCTCATTCCCACCAAGGCAGCAGTCCCTCCTGATGGGGCAGCTGTGGGGCTGTCCCCCACGTGGCCTCGGGACTTCTGGAACTTTCAGTCATCGTTTGAGCATGTGCTATGCGCTATCACTACCCAGGCAACTGGAGCCACAAAAACACAGAGCAAAGGGTCACGCTGCTCCCGGTCTTCTAGAATTTCCAGCCATGATGGCCTGCCTGCCAGCAGTGACCTTCTCCATTGGCCTCCGCTCTCGTACAGTGGCACCAAGTCCCCATCATCGGGTTCACACTTTGGCTTTCCCACTGGTCGTCCTCTGTTGTGCATGAGCACAGAGTGAAGCTGCTTCTTGGACTGACCACCTCCCAGCCTGGATGCCTCGTCTGAGGCCCAGCACCTCCACCAGCAACGCAGCTATCTGCTAACGCACACCCTGGGAGGCTGCCATGATGGCTCAGGTGCATGGGCCTTGCCACCCCACCTGGCAGAGCGGGACGGAGTCCTGGCTCCCCGCTGCATCCTGGCCCCGCCCAGCTGGTACCAGTAGGAAGCAAACCGGCAGATAGAAGATCACTCTCCATCCCTCCGTCTAGCACATGCGCTCTCTCCTCTCTGTCTCATTCACTCTAGCTCTCTGCCATTCAACCAGATAAAAATGTATTTACTTTCATCTCCTTGAAAGACAGAATAACACACCGAAAGAGATAGACAGAATGGGATCCTGGAACTCCAATTACTCCTGTATCATCTCGTTCTCTCCCAAGCAGCCAGTTCAGAGGCAGAGCAGCCAGCACTGAACAGGTATTCTAATGCGGGACAAGAGTGCCCCAAGTGGCGGCTTAACTCACTGCACCACCATGTCCACCCCCAAATTTCTTAGCTGATCTCAAACATTACCTGTGATATCATTTGGCCCTGATGATTTAGATATCATTTTCCAATATATAACTGTGAAAGTCATATATGTTTTTTATAAACATGAACCTACAGGTTTTACTTTCCTGTAGAATACCTGTAAGCATTTTTCCATGTCAACCTTCTTTGGCAATATCATTGTTAACATCTGAATGTTATAGAAGCGAAATAACTTAAAATTTTCTATCACAAGTACAAAAGTGTTTCAATTTTTCAGAAATGTAAATTGCCCTCTGAGAACAGAAAGAACAAAAATTGTGAGACTCCAGATATATTTAAAGATGAAAAATGTCCAAATCTATTTTTTAAATCATGGTATATTTTAAATGTGTCTGTTAACCAATCAGAACTTTGATTGCAAAAATAGAAAATACACTCTAATGATACTATTCTGTGGATTCTTATAGATTTGGGAGAAAGTTTTCTTTCTAATGTATTACAGGTCTTGTGGCAAAACCCAATTGTTAAGTTGGCCCATGTCTTCCTCTGCCTTTTCCAGTAACTTATTTAATTCTCTATATAGATTTGTTCAGAGATGATAAAGTCTTTGAGTTCCCAGGGAAATAGGCTCCTTGGTCGATCTCCCTGCCTAGAATCAGTTCCTACAGCTCGAGGCAGAATCTTCGAGTTCAGAGGGGCTTACCCAAGGACAGGTGTTTGGCTGGACAGCTTAGGCATGACTGGTGATATGTACCTCATGTCTGAGCCTCAGTCCTGGCCCTGCTTCCGGCTTGCTTTCCATTAACGCACCCCCCCAGATGCAGCAGGGGATGGTTCCAGCACCCCAGTCCCTGCCACCCCACAGGAGGACCTGGCTTGAGTTGCAAGCTCTTGGCCTGTCCTGCCCCAGCCCTCACTACTGCGGGCACTGGAGGACTGAATCCACAAGTGAAGGCTGATATTCTCTCTCCTTCTCTCTCTTTCTCTCTCTCTCTTCCTCTTTCCTCTCTCTCTTCCTCTCTCCTCTCTCTCTCTCTGCCTTTCAAATAAAATGAGCATAAGCAAAGCTTTTTTTTTTTAATCTTTAGAATTTATGTGTTGGTGTATAAAGCAACACCCACTGCTTTTGAGCTTGCACCCATTTATAATTCATCAAGAGTGTGTGAGATTGGACACCAGTTAAGATGGTGCTTGGGATGCCTGCAACCCACACTGGAGTCCGCAGGTTTGACTCTTAGCTCAGTATCCAAGCCAGCTACCTACTAATGCATACTCTTGGAGAAAGCAGCTGATGATTCTAGCACTTCCCTCATGGGACAGACAGGTAGAATTCCAGGACATTTTAACCATTCTGGTCTTCTTCCATTGTTAAATAGTCCAATAGCTCTCCTTGCGACTCTGCTCCTGTTCCACTCTGCACCCGTAAACCTTTTTCCCTGTGGCTCTCTTCTCTAATCACTGGCTCATTAACCTTGTAAAAGTGTCAGCTCACATGTTCTCTCTTTAGAAGAATTTTAACACACTTGGTAATTACTCACCTCTGACTTTCTCTTCCCTCACTGCTTATTTCCTCCTTCAGATTTTTTCCTCAACTGATAATCATGCATTTATAAATGCATTTTATTACAAGGTATCTTGCCTATTAGAGAACATTATCCGATGCTTAGTAAGAGCTAAATAAGTATTTGTTCAGCACACGAGCAAATTAATGTACTTCCCAAGGGTGAGTCATGGCAGAAGAGATTAATCCACTGCTCAGGAGGCCCGCGGTCTTGTCAGGACTCCAGCTCAAGCTCCTGCCATCCTGCTCGCAATCCAGCTTTCTGCGACTGTGCCTCAGAAGCAGCAGATAATGGCTTAAGTCTCTAAGTCCCTGCCTTACCCATGGGAGTCCTGGATGGAGTTCCTGGATGGGATCTTAGCTTCCGGCTTTGGCCAGGACCAGCCCTGTCTCCTGTAGCCATTTAGGAAGTGTGTCAACAGATAAAAGATCTCCAAGTCACTGTGCCTTTGAAATCAATGAATCTTAAACACATATCCTAAATTTAAAAAGCAATAAAAAGCTTTTGGTATGATCATCCCTGAAGGATGTGACAGAATCACTCAAACATACATGTGTATACACACATATTTTTAGAGTGCCCTAACAAGGCATGGGATGCCTGCTACGTGGACATGCCCACCGCACTGCAACATGGCCAGCCTGGAGATACCTAGCACATTCCTTTAAGTAGGAATCACCAAGTCTACATACCCCAAAAGGCTTACCTCTCCAAACCAACTGCTTGGCACAGAGAATAGAGTTTGGAGTTGTACAGAAGTGCAAGGCCGTGTGGCCACTTAAGGAGTAACAGTTGAGCTTCGCCCCGCGGTCACAGAGGATCTTCACACAATCCAGGTTGGCCATCTCACAAGCCACGTGCAGAGGGGTTTTGCCGTTGGGTCTACAGTTGATGGTAGCATTGTGGTCCAGCAGCACCAGCAGACACTCCACATGGCCGAACAAGACAGACAGGTGCAAGCCAGTGGCCCAGGAGGACTTCAATTTGTAACTAGGTAACCAGTAACCTGGAAAAGGAAAAGAAACTTTTAACTCATTGGCCTACAACTTCTCTTTGTTTTCTGAGGATGTTTACAGCACATTTCATTTTGGTCACTTTTATAAAACGAAGGAGGCCACGATTAGAGGTTATAGTAGCAGTAGCTGGGCCTGCCGATGTTCTCTTTTGCAGCCCACTGTGATAAGCTGAGTAACATGAGCTGTCTCCGGAATGCAGTATGCCTATAATCCCTATTGTTCTTTTATTCATATCACCTGCATGAGTACTCAAAGTATTTGAACTTTAAGCCTTCATTTATGTATGTCTTTATTTTCACATGAGACTCTCCAGGAACTTTTTTTTTCCAACTATTCGGTTTGTTTTCAATGATATCAAAGTCACTATTGAGACCCTTGCCATGGTTATCTCATCCCAGTTCTTTCTCCCTGGAGTTGCTGATGTCAATCCAAAATGTCACTGTGTTTAACACATTTTTATGATTTGTCACGCCAAGGTTGTGTTTACCTGGCTGTTGGTTTATACAGTCTTTCTAAAAAAGGAATTTAAAGCAAATCACACATTTTTCGAAGATAGAAAATTTACAGGAATTATCTAGAAAATAAGGACGACAGAGGTCAAAAGTAACACAGGTGCACTAAGCACAGCCATGCTTGATCTGCATAGCAGCTGTGCCTTTAAGCTTCCCAGCAGCCAAAATTAACAGGAAATAAGTGTTGTACAACTCACTTTTTGGACAGAGCCAATGATGGGAGAATGCTAATCCTAGAGCTAAGATTGTTGGAAATATTCTCTCTCTCTTTCCTCTCTGATGTCTGACTTTTGTGCAGGGATGTGATCTTTTCCTCCAAGTCTCTACTGAATGCTGCATTTGACAAGTGTTAGCAACCATGACTTCATAGACATTCTACATGAATACCTGCAGCCATTGCACTTAGTCTCACTATAAATTGAAAACAAGTAAAGATGAAATACTAATAGCAAGTTGAAGATATGAAGGTAGCTCCATTAAGCCAAGAAGGGACTTAATGACTGAAAGAAAAAAAATCTATATTTTAACATGGATGAATCAAGAGTCTGATGCTGGGCCATGAAAATGCTATTTAATGTGGAAGGGAAGCAGAATATAATTTGGTGATTATGTATTAGAGAAAAAGATCTAGGATTTGAGTTGACAGTAATCTCCAAAGACACCCACAGTGGGATGGAGCTGCCAAAAATGAGTACCATCTTGAGATGCATTAACCAAAATATAGGGCTCAGAGCACGGGATCTAAGAGTTGCACTCATTCCCAATTATATTTGTAGGCACCCACCCTTTATCAGACAGAGAGGATGTTCCAATCATGCTGATCGCATTCAAAGTGGGCCTGGTCATCAGCCACCAACGTTCTCTCACTTAAGAGAAAGCTGTCACTTCCGCGTACCATGGCCTGAGGGAGCAGTGCGTTACACCATCCCAGAGCGAGCGATGTGCTGTGCCCTGTGAAGGGTGCTACAGGAAATCACGGATCCTTAACCCAGCTATGTGCCACGACATGCATTATACTACAGCGCTGCTCCAAATGACTCCGATGGCAACAGCCTTTGCATTCATTGTCATCAGACTACTTCAACAAACCACAGTACAGCCATAGCCACGTGGCTGAATGCTATACAGACATTAAAAAGAATCAGGTGACTGTATATTGACCTGAAATGAAAACATATCAAGACATGTGAGGATACTTTTTAAAAGTGGGTGGAAACACGAGATCAAAGGTAAGTTTTGGGCCCAGCAGGGTAGCCTAGTGGCTAAAATCCTTGTCTTGCACATGTCAGGATCCCATGTGGTGCCAGTTCATACCCCGGCTGCTGCACTTCCCCTCCAGCTCCCTGCTTGTGGCCTGGGAAAGCAATAGAGGACAGCCCAAAGCCTTGGGACCCTGCACCCACATGGAAGACCCAGAAAAAGGTCCTGGCTCTCAGCTTCAGATCAGCTCGGCTCTAGCCATTGTGGTCACTTGGGGAGTGAACCAGAAGATCAAAGACCTTTTCTCTCAGTCTCTCCCTCTCTCTGTAAACCTGGCTTTCCAATAAAAAGAATAAATCTTTAAAAAAAATAAGTTGAGGATGATGCAAAAAAAATTTAAATCCAGCATAGATTTTTCATAATACACTTTTTTCATGAACTTTTTGAAGATGCTTCAAAAAGCATCTGAGACGGACCTGAACAGTAGGCACGCTGTTATTGTGTCCGAATGCACTGGAAGTCACTACGCCAAAAACCTGCTTATCCTGGGGGCCCCCAAGAAGAATTAGGAGGTGCTGGGGAAGGATACGGGTGAGGTGCTGCTGAATGACCCCTTTGTAACTTTTAAAATTTTAGACTCTGTGCCTCGGTCTAGTGGGAAATGTTAAACAGGCCATTCATTTACAAAGTCATGAATAATGCTGATGAATCCCACAGGACAAATGAACTCAACCCCAAGTTTATTTTTCTGCTGCTCACCAACCACTCTAGCAACACACACACCTCCATTAGACAGGCAATGTGCTCACACACACACACACACACACACACACCTTAAATTCTTTTTCCAATTATTTCAGAATGAGATCTAATGGGCCTAAGATTGTTTAAAATGACATTGTGAGATTCCTCCTACCACTACCTGAAGTTTTGCAGGACTCTAGTCAGCTCTAAAATTAAGCTCTACGATAGCAGTTTGAGATCCCAGACCCTGAGAAGGAATATTTTGTAGTAGAAACTTCTCCCGATGGAGCCAAGTGGTATCAACAGAGGATGAACTGGGGAACATCAACCTTGTGCCTCGTTCATGTGTGTGAGCAGTGTGTGTGTGTGTGTGAGCAGTGTGTGTGTGCGTGAGCAGTGTGTGTGTGTGTGTGTGTGAGCAGTGTGTGTGTGTGTGAGCAGTGTGTGTGTGTGTGAGCAGTGTGTGTGTGTGTGTGTGCGTGAGCAGTGTGTGTGTGTGAGCAGTGTGTGTGTGTGTGTGTATGCATATATACGTGCACACACTAGCGCATTTCTATTTCATTATGTTTGCTAAGACTCTGTTCCAAGCAGCGTTCGACTGTATGTAATACAACGTGATTTTCCTAATAAATAAATCACATTACACATATTTAATCAATTGCGTTCATATGCCCTCAACAAGCAATTAGCGAAACACGTTCTTTCCTGACCGTCTTGGAAAGAGGTTGGCTCCAGACCTGAAAGCCACGGTGGCGTGGCTCCCTGGCGATCAGCAGCAGACGACCCGACCCGGCAGCTCTGCGCTGCAGCTGCTCTGCCACTCGTGCCTGCCTCTGCAGTGCGAAGAACAAACCATCTTGGGAAGGAAGCAGCAGAGAGCTGATTGAGAAAACACCACTCTGATGTAAAATGCAAGAAACGCAGAGAGCTAGCGCTAGGGGGAGATGATCCAGGCTAAGCGTTTCATTTTCCGGATGAGAAACCTGCCACTTCTTCAGCCTGCTGCAGCTGCGAGTCGCCTGCCTCTGCACTGCACAGGTTTCCGGGTGAGCTGCAAGCTTGCTTCACCAACCACAAGCTCCCCAACTTACCTTTGAAGAGCCACATCTCTGATGTAGAAATATACTTAATTGCTACTTTTTTCTCCTTCCAGATTCTCAGTAGCACCTACAGAATCGATCAGGTGTTGGTTTGTTTTCGATTTTACACCCATCAGTCATCCTTGCCCTCTCAGTCCATTTCTTCTGGGTCTTCTATCAACATAACCACGCACCGTACAGTAAAGCAGGCTCACAGCCCATCAGCTCCTGGGATTCCATGATCCCCCCTGGAGGGAACTGTGTGTGCAACTTGCCTACCCTGGGTGGCAGTGGGAGCAGAGAACTGCCCCTGGGGATCTGGACTGCAGACCAGGACTGGGACAGAGCTATTTCAGGCCTGCTGGCTGTCTCCCCAGCTGGTTGGGGAACTCTGGAGGCAGTGGGAGGGAGCAGGGCTTCTGGGTAGTTCAGTTCCATGCATAATGGGAAAGTGTGCTGAGCAAAGAGCAGCACACAGCACAGGAGTCACTCATGCTGATTACAGCCTGCAGGAGCAGCCGCTGTGTCGCAAACAGGAAAGGGCACCTGCCCTCGCTGGTGAGAAAACTCAAAAGTTTTCTTCAAGCTTGGCAGCTGGGCTGTACCTGCTCACAAAGGAAGCACTTCCAGAAGTTTGTGGAAAATGTGTAGCATGGAAATACAGTCTGGATTTCAATTTTTTTTTTTTTTTTACACCAAGACAAACCTATCTTCTAATTCCATTTTCCCATGAACCTTTTCAAGGGCTGCTGTGGCACCAAAGAATCGCAATTAGTCCCCAGTCACATCACCATGTGGCGGGTTCACACAGAACCCCAAGCAGGGCAGGCCCGGGTGGCCTGCTCTCCCTTCTTGCTGCTGCACACAGTTCCCAGGGCTCTGCAAACTTGACTGTGATGTTCTAAGTATCTTCCAGAGGCTACCTCTACAGACTGCAGATGCCCCCCTGATTGTGGGGGACCCGGATGCAGGAAGACACAGCGGGGAGCGCAGGCAAGGCAGAGCCTCTGGGGGCCTGGAGGGGTGAGGAAGCCACGGCCTCCCTCTAACAGAAAGGGCCAGATGTAACTGTTATTGCCCACAGCAGGTGGGCAGCGGCTCCACCAAGGGAGGAAGCGCCGTCCTTCTCTTGCGCACTGCCAGTATGTACAGTCACCTTTTACTTTCCTCCCAGAGCCTGATCTAACATTCCTTCATTCAACTTCACCTTCACACTTTAAAGGGCTTAACTGGGGGCAGGGAGGGGGCTGGGGGGAGGGAGAGAGGACTGAAAGCAAGGCTGAAAAAGCCTTCGGTTTGCAAATAAAGACAGTAATATTGGTGACATTTCAGTAGCTGACGGTGTCTTTGTACAACAAGCACAGAGGCCAAACCATGGTCCCAAACTCAGTCCCCCGAGACCCGTACGGCGTATGCAATTTACCTCCAAACTGTTACCCACAGGAACAGTAAGTTCTAAGGGAATCCTTGAAGATTCCACCTAGCAAACAACTGCCAACCAAATTAATGCTTGTGTGTGCGTGTGTGTGTGTGTCTGAGAGAGAGAGAGAGAGAGAGAGGGAGAGAGAGATTTAATGAGACTTAAATATGAAATTAAAGAGGTATTCCCACGTAGCTGTACAGAAAGCCCACTAGCTCGGGCAGAATGGTAAGGAGCTAAGAGCCCTGGTCCTGCTTGGGAAGGCACTGGTCACGCACGAGGGGAGGCAAGGCTGCAGCTAGGGCTGGCTCTGTAGCAGTTATCAGCTCCAATGTTATCGGAGTCAGAAGCCACGCACCACAAGCCTCCGCTATTACAGCCAAGCGTTACACACGCTGCTCGTGGCTGGATTAGCGGACATTTGCTCTGCCTGTATCCATGTATTTGCACAGTCCTGGGGGATTAGAGACTGAAGTGCAACTCTGGACTATTTTGGAATAGCTAATATTTTCCGGTTAACTCGTCGAGTTCCCCTGAGGAAGCGATAAGGGGAAGCAAACAAGTTTGAAATGTAGAACTTCCATCACCATCCCAGGAAATAGGGAAAACAGGAGGGTGGCTTTCTGGCAAGGAAGGAAAGTAGAGGATACTTAGATTATTCATCAGGACAGTGGAAGTCAGAGCTTTGGGGGTATTTACTCGGAAAGCAGTTGCTAGATAGAACACCTGCCGGAAAGTTTTCAAATGAAATTTTTCCTTGGTCATCATCATACTTCAAAATATGACTACCAACCAAGGAACCAGCAGCTGTGGGCCATAAACGAGGTATTTCAAGCACATTACACTGATTAATAAAACGACTCTCATGAGCCCTGCTGACCACAGCAAAGAGTGAAGGATGACAGTCTTGTATCATTAACGAAACAGCAGGTCACTCATCCCAGAATCAACACAAGCACTTGGAAGAACTGTTCTAGAGATTGCCAGGTGGACTCAGTTTGTGTTTTCCGGGAAGAAGGTCACCAGAGGGTCCCAAGGTGAAGGGCCTTTGAGTTTGCCTTCGGGATTTAGATTCACTTCAAAGCTGTCCTTGCCTCATCACGGACCCTGCACTATTGACACCGCTCAATGATTCACCAGCAGTCAGTTCTAAGAGAGCTGTGCCTGTATTTCTGTCATTGGTGCTACCTAGGGTGCAAAGGGGTCCTCGGGTACATGCCATTCGCTCACTGTGTTTTTACAGTTAAGACACACATCTCTGCCGTTCCCCAGGGAGGGCTCTGAAGCTCCAAGCTGTCCACATCTCACATTTACTTTACAAAAGTATTTGAGTTTTAATTAACCTAATGCACGCTTTTTTTTTTTTATCAATCTGAAGATCTGATTACAAAGCTGCAACAAAACTGAAAAAAAGCAAGCGAGATCTCTCTAATAGAAATCATTTTAGGTGCTGGCAAAGACAGAACCTGCGCTTGGAACACGAATGCCTGAGGCTGGCTACTGAATCTGCCCTTTGTTGGACTAGCAAAACAAGCTACTTCCCAAGCTGGGCCCAGGGCTATGGGAGCGGCAGAAATGATTTCCCAGACTCCTTTGTAATCCAACAGTTGTGTCCTGCACCCTCAGAACAATCCATATTTGCTTTAGGATGTCAACCTTTGATTACTGGTACATCAGCCAGAGCGGAGGTTGAGGGAAGCATTGTTTACAACCCCAACTGAATCTGTCACCAACTGGGTTTTAAATTATCCTTCCAAAGAGGATTGTCAAGTCAGCTTAGACATACTCCATAGGAATAAAAAGTCAATTTTAAACATTTGATGGAAAATGGTGTGACATGGTCTAAATGCAATAAAACTAATTAAAAATGATTGTATCCCTGCTAATCTTCGACGGGGTGAGATATCGCATATAAAATTACAACAAATTACACAAGGAAATCTAAAAGTAGCATTATGCCTGTCATAGATTTTATATATTACCTTGCTTGTTAAGCCAGAAGATTCCAAAGAATCGGTAATACGCTATTTCCCCCAACAGGATGCCTGCTACATAGGTTTAGTCTGTGAAAATTAACAAAGCTGCACGCTTCCAGTTTCCTTTTACTATGCAGAGCTTTTCAAACATGCTTTAAAAAAACTAATCTGAGGAGTGCTCAATATCTCAGAGTCCTGCGTTGATTTAAAACTCGCAGAAAGTTTAACCCAGCTACAAACCCTTCAGAGCCGCACAGAAATAGGTTGTATTTCTTAGAAGTATTCAAAGAGGAATTAAACACACAACCACCACCCACCAAAGCCTGCTCGGTTCTACGCTGCTTCCAGAAAATTCTTCTTTGTGTTCAAAGCACTGCTACATGCACTTACCACTTTCCTTGACACTGAGACTTTATTTTCATTCCTTCCATTTCTAACTTCAATGGATGGATATTTGAGCTTGGAAGCTTGGAAAGAAATTGAAAGCAGCCCAGAAGAACCATCAGGCTTTCACCTGAATTTAAGGCTAAAACGGCAGGCTATTGTGCCCATTTTCGTGTTAAGCAGCGTCTTTCTTTTCGACACATGTGTGTGTACATACACACCACACACGACTTCCTGCATACATCCTGAAGAACTCACACAAATCCTATTATTTGTGTGCACACTCTCATCTGTGAGAGAGGACCAGTTCTTCCATCTTGGGCTAGAATTTGCTGTCTTCCCTAACTCCACAGTCCTACAGGCAGGAAAGCACCCCTCCTTAGCTCTTCCAGGACCTGCAGAGCCGGCTGCCAGTGACAAGGAGCAGTGGGCATGCCTTCTCCTGCCTCTCACCAGGTTCAACCTGGGGCACAGGGGAACCCACATTCCACATCTCCGGCGCCTGCACCCCATGTTACGCTTCCCGTAAACTCAGAAGCTCTGCACACCCTGTGTAATTCGGCTGGAACAGGAGGCGAGGAAGGCAACCCCTGCAAGTCAGGCTCAAGTAAACTGCTCAGTGATTTAAACTGAGTGTGCACTGGCAAACGCAGTCTTCAAGAAGCTCGTGCAAAGAGTATGAAAAAGTTAGGACTGGTCTCCGAAACATCCCCGCACCAGGAATAAATTCATGTTTTACTTCCATTTTCCAAGAACCTTAAGAACGCCTCTCATAAAATATCTTTACAATGTGTTTTGAATTCGGACATTATTTCACAGCGCAAAGTCATGCGTAAATGAAGGCAGTCTATCCATCGAGTCCCACCTTACTTCACTTTTCACTTTAGGACAATAAGGCCCTTCCTTAATGACTGAATCCAAAATATCAATGGCAATCTTTTGCAAAGCTGTCAAGTAAAAATCACCAACACAGTGATTTTAACTCTTTCATACTTTTTTTTTCAGAAGTGCTCAAGAGAAACAGAATTAATACAGAAATATATAAGAGCTTCAAAAGGTGTATAGACGCTATGATAAAACTGTGCATGGATTTCAAAACTGCATCACACCAAAGTCACCTTCCACCATTCCACAAACTTTCTGAACTACCCTCGCATACCAGGAAAATCAGTATCAGAGAGCGGATGCCACTAAGGGTTTCTATTTGAAAACAAAACATCTTAAAGCATGAAAAATAATTATTCTCCCTCCAAATGCTGTGCATTCACAAGACTTTATCATCCACTCTGTTTAAACAGAAATGATGGCAAGCTGAGCTGTGCATACATGGCCCGCTCAGCAGATGCCCTAACTGCTCAAGTTCCCTCATTAACAAGGTGATTTGGGAAATCAAAATTCGCCTGTTTGTAAATTATTTATGACTTATTAAGCAGGGATTCTAGAAAAACCTTTGATATAAAAATTTCTGTTCTAATTTTCTTCCTTAGCTTGTCTTAATAAGGTAGAAATTCTTGATGAGCACAAGTGCAATTTCTTTTGTTCAAAGAAAAAAAGAGTAAACTTCTCAAATTTTCTGAGTTCAGGCTTGTGTCCGAACTGAAAATCCATTAAAATGATGAAGACGGTAAAGGTGCCTGTGGCACGGCTCTAGGCATTCATTAACCCTCCGAATGGAAGAGAAAAATCCCCTTTTTCCTCCACATGGACAGAGAGATGATATGTGGCTAGGTGGCTGTTAAAAGAGAATTAACAAGCCGTTCCCAAGCCAGTCACCTTGTCTACATCAGGTCCCAACAGTCGGATCCAAATCTAAGCAATGTTTTCTTTATTCTGTGTCATCACAGTCCAAGAAAAGTTACAAACACTGCATTTCTAAATACGACTGAACAGGATTTCAGATTCTTGGCATAGCAGAGAACAAACAAAAGGCAGGAATATACTAGTGTACACACACACGCACACACACATCAGTCCATAATGCATTCTAGTTTTAAAAGACAAGATCAAATTAGAAACACTGCTAGGATAAATATTTACAGAAAAAGAGCAACAGCTACTGGTTTCAAGTGAGCAACTGACACTTCATATCACAAAAAGAAAAAAAAAATCTATTTTCTATCAATATCACAATGATGCCTCATTTTTTTTTTACCTTGTTTATAAGATGCCAAAACCATATTCTCATCTTCAACTTCAAAAACTGTGTCCACATCTATTTGCCTTTGGATTAAAATAGCCTTCAATTTTCCGGAGTCATTTGACTTGAGAGCCTCAAGGAAATTTCTCTTCACTAATTTGGCAGCTCCCGACTTGGTGACCGGGCCAGTGGAGCCGTCCATCCTTCCTCTCCCTCTGGAAGCTTTGTTGTGATTTATCAGAAGAGCAGCATCAAGCAACCAGGCACATGCTACGGAGCCCACAAACCGTTGGCTAATTTTATCCCAAAGTTATGCTGATCCGTTCTATTTATATAGGGATCATTTCAAACTTCAAAATATCCTTCTTGGCTGTCACTGCCTTTTCAAGTCCTTTACTCTGGTTTTACAGCCAATCATCCATTCAGTAATACATTGTGTCAATAGGAACCCAAGCCCAGGGATACATTTCTGAGCATGAAATGTCACTATTATTTCTTAGACGATCAAAGTAATAATGTAAGATTTAAAGGCTCTTAATGCTCTTCTCTCTCTCCCTCTCTCTCTCTGGAAAAAAAAAAAAAAACATCTGTTCTCTGGCTGGAGATGCAGTGTCTTGCTCTGATTAACCAATAGCCCCAAATGAAAATACATTACAGTTGTTGATCCGTGTGCTTCTAAAACCCTATGATAATTATATAATAGGAACCATAAAATCAGTCACAGTCGTACACATTTGAAAACACACAGAAGGGCTTCTAGGGGACCCAGACTCAAAAAACTCCAATCTCATGAAAAGGTGGAGTGGGCTGGGGGGCTGTGTAGGACAAAATAAAGAGACAGCGTGGTTTAATGAAGTGAGTGAATGATGTTTATTAAATGCTGCATTTTTTTTAAAAAAAATCCATTAGAAAAGACAACCTCAGAATAACTGTGGAAATATAAATATGAACAAGATACTACTTGGGAATATGAAACTTGAACTTTAAAGGTTTGATAATAAAGGTACTACAATTACACTGAAGAATATCGTTATTTCGAAGTGCCTCATTAAATGTAAACTGTCGTGACGCCTTAAGCTTCTTTTAAAATATTTCAGAATCATAAACAGGATGTGTGTACGTGTGTACAAGTCTATGTGGTTGTAAACACACAAAAATTTGCCTGTTACATACATTCACACACAAATGTGTGTGTGTGTGCACAGAGACGAAGATATGAAATAGAGTTAGAAATTGGGGAATTCACTGAGCAGTATTTGGTAGTCTGTTATAATATCTTTCAGCCTTTCTATAAATCTGAAGCTTTTTTCCAAAGGAAAAGGTAGAGGATAAATATGCCCTAATTGTTGCAATTTTAAGCATTAAAAATGGGGGAAATTATATCAGAGAGAGAGAAGCGCAATGCAAACAAATCAGATGGATGTGCTGTTGGTGAGAATCAAAGACTGGCTCTATGCTTCCTATAAATGATTAGCGATGCAAATTTAGAAAAAATTTAAATACTTTGTTTCTTATAATCCACATAGGTATTTGGACATGAATACAAATTACAATATGATTGTTAATTATAGATATGAAAGTGCTAATAATATATAGTGTGTTAAGAAAGTGCCAAATAATAAATATGTCATGTGTCCAGTTTTCACAAAGTGACCAGATCCAAAAGTCACACGGTTCAAACTGTAGAATCAATCAAGCTTATCCTGCCTTCTAACGTTCTAGATTCGTTTCACTTTTTATCTGAATTTTACCCTTTTTGTTTAATGTTTATAATTTTGATTAGTTTTTAATTCTTACCATTCAATTTTTTCTTTAAAAGCCACAACAAAAAGGGAGTCCTTCCTCAAGCGAGCACTTGTCCACATGCTTTTCTGTGTTGAGATCCACAAGTCGGCCTCATAACACAACAAACCTCGAGAGACCACCATGGGCCTCACTGTGCTTCTGGGTGCTGGGGACACAGCAGTGACCGCACGAAGACCCCAACAAGAGCGACTGCACCTCCAGAGAAATGAAGAGGTGGCAGAAGCCTCTGGCTCATTTTTGACCTCCTGCCCGTTGGAATTTTTTGTAAAGTTAAAAACTCACTGAATTTCATTCAGAAACAACAGTTTGTTTACATCCACTGGATTGATCTGACTTCTCCTCTGGGTATTCCCAATCAGATTTAGTGGCAAAGGAAAGCTCCATTTCTTTGGATGTTTTGCCTGATGTGATCAGAGGTCTTTTCCAGTAAGCAATCAGTCTCTTTGGGGGACAGGGAGCGGGGGACGCAGGCAGGAGGTGTGTACGGACTCGCAGTCCTTCATGGTCTTTCAAAGCCTCCAGTGTCCTGGCTGCAAGGTGGGACATTTCACTTCCCCTTTCATTTCCCTCATTCTATGCAGCTGGCTGATCTCCTGCCACAGGTGGGAAGGTTAGCCCCACCATCAGACATCTGATTTGGGTCCTGCGAGAATGATCCTCGATACCATGAGAAAGGAGATAAAGTGATCTGGAAAAATCTTTGCCTTTCTTTAAAGCCTGATTTTCACAACCACATTGTCTTTCTGAATATCAGCATTAAGATTCAAACTTGATCAATGGCCAACCTGTTCTAGGACACCACATATATTCTCTTTTCTTGGGTGGATACCTCTCAAGATCTGGCTCGGAGGGTGGAAGGCCATGAAGAAAAACATTGCAGAATGAAATTTCACAACACTGTGTAAGATGGGCAACCAAATTTAAAACATGATGCTAAAGGTCATAATCTTTCCCACAAAAGCTACTTGGGCCTCATTCCTTAGCTATAAAACATGTCATCTAAGTTCTGTGGAATACTTCAAGCACACAAAGCAAGCATCAATGAAGAAATCAACCCAATGTAGAAACTTATCTGTACTTTTCCAGGAAAAATTCATTCATTGATCAACGCATCCAGACAGCAGAGGATAGAATGTAGGGTTTATCTGCATTTAGGTGTCAAACTGCAGTTTAACTAAATAACCCACTGAAGTCATTCTAGCATACACGAAGTAGTCTGACCAATGCTACTAAGGCCATGACCGCCTCCATCATCCAGACCACTGCTCTAAGGCGCCACCTCTCTAGGCCCTGCCAGGCCAAACTGCCTGCGGCCATTTTCCATGGTATGTAGTCCAGCATGACCCAAAGTCCCGTCTCCTTAGCCCTTAAACATGAGAAAAAGCAGTGCTATAAGAGAAGCTGCTTCGTGTCTTCTTTCTGACTTGCCTAACACAGTGTCCTATGCTCTTGAAGGTGTGAAGAACTCTCCGCCAAGACAACCAAGTTGGTCAAGTGTCCATCAAGACCGTGCCATGCTCGCCAAGGACCTGTGGCAGAAGCAGCAGGTGCAAACATCTGACCTCTGGCTTTCATGATGTCTGCAGGCAACAGCCATTGTCTACTTGCTGCACAAATGGCTCCTTGGTTTCACATGCCTCTCAAACATGAAGGCACCAGTACTAAGTTACATTGTCCAAAATGCAAACAAAAAGTGAGGGAGAACGGAAAGGAGGGGGAAAGAAGGGAGGGAGAGAGGGAAGAAGTGAGGAAGGGAGGAATCAATCAGATGTCAAAGTTTCTAGAATAAACCTTCCTAAAACAGAACTTCTGTAAAGTGAGACATTACTGGGCTTCCTCGGGCTTCCCAGCAGGTGAACTGGTCTACCCCTTCCCTCCGCTCACAGTCGAGTCTGGTACATTTTGTTTGTATCTGTTAACTATACACGAGTCTGCTGTGACGTATCCCCCTTAGTCCAGGGTTCATTCTCTCATTTGCTATGTCACACATGTTGATGTTAGTGCTCCTGATAACACCAGCAACTGGAATTAAACAGCAGAGAAAACCTACTGTGCACAGTGAGAATTCCAGTTGTACAATGGGTTTCAGGAGAGATCTCAGCCTGAAGTTGGAGATTCCCAATCAATGTTCTCGTTGCTCACATAGCTTTTTGTTTATATAGACCTTATGTTTGATCACTGAGTAATCCAGAAATAAACCTGCTTCTATCCATCCCTTCGCTGAGTAACTTTTGGGAACCTACTACGGATCGGCCAATGTACTGGTGATCTTTGGCTGCACACTGAATAAAGCAAACTTTCCCTTTGTGTCCTGACCCACAGCCGAATGTCAAAAAAAAAAAACAAGAGATTTTCCAACTTCAGCAGGTCTCTGATCATCTAATCCTGGAGGTGACTCTATCACCCTTGATCTTGGAGCAGACCGACAAGCAGTTGCAGTCACAAATCCAGGGTAGGAGGAATCACATATGTAACCATGCAGTGTACACTGCAAAGTACAACACAAGAGTTACACACCGTTACTCAGTGTTCATATCCTTGGGTCAAAAGAACATCACGTGCTCCCACCACAGACTCCGGTGACATTCAGCAAGGTGTTTCAAATCATCCAATATACCTCTAGGTGACTCTGTTCCTTCTAAGTAAAAACAAGAAGACCTAGTAAATCCGCTTCTCAGCTTTTCTGAATCCTCCCCCCTTGGTAACCTGGACATTTGGTAAAGCATGACACTGACCACCTAAAACAGAAGATCATGCCATAATTTTCCAGATCATGCCATAACATGCAAAGTTTCATTCTTGTGGGCTGCAGCGCTCAGGTTCCGTCCTCTACCAGTTGGGGGCGCTGGAAGAACTTCTAAGATGCTTCCAGCGCTAAAATCGTGCACATTCTCCGCTCTTGGTGTAATTACAAACAGTGTTAGTGGGGGAAGCGCAGCATAAAGTCGGCTAGACAATTCTCCAGAACAGCTAAAATGCTTGCTTTGTAAATGCCAGGGATCAAACTCTGCCCCCAGCACATCTTTGCTTAAAACTCTATTTGGGGGATGGCATCCCCTCTCTCTGGATTGCTGAAGTGACAATTTAGCCACTACTGCCTGCTTCTTGGAACAATATCAGTGAGCAAGCAGCTGCCTTTCCTGTACGAGCATTTAAGCTGAACTTGTAGCTAATTACTGTATTTCCGGAGAATCTTGGTCTCTGGTAGGATGCTACAACGTGCGCTTTCAATCTCCCCCTTTCTGGGTGGTGGGTGTCGAGAATAACTGGAATCGTATCAACAATAGCCAAGCACTGGTCCACCTGAGCTTGACAAACTAGCCATTTCATAGCATCTGTAACTGGGAAAGAGATTTCCCGAGACAAACGCTCCCCAGCACTCAGGGCCGGCATTAGCTCTGTGCTGGGGTCTCCTAGCAACCGCCTGGCATTCACGCAGCCTTCCCGCAGCACAGTATAAACATCAACACCCCTCGCCCTGTTAGACACTTCACAAAACCAATTCACGGGGCTCATTCACCATGATTTTGTCTCAACAGAACATTAACCTCACAATCGTATTGCCAGCAGGACCTGCATCCTTTTTCTTACTTTTG